ATTGAAGAATGTCTTATAACCTATGAGCCTGGCAACCATAAAGCTGTCTTGCCAATCCACGCCCATCATGAAGGAAAGGGGCATGAAGATGTAGGAGCATATTAGCTACAAAAACCAAAAGTAGAGACTTTATTAGAGTAGTGAGTAGCTTCTGCCTCACCCCTGTGACAAGTTTGTTCTTGCCCTTTCTGTGTCTCCTTTAAGTATAGACATCCTTTCACACATCCTTGCTCATCTTTATCCACTAGGAGTCAAGGTTGGAATTGGGTCATTTGAAGTAATCGGGATTCTTGGATGGGATCTGGAGAGAATGGCTGAATGTTGTGGGGGGGAGGGTGACAGGAACAGAGAGGAGGTGTGAGGCGATGGGGGATACATGGTAAGTGTGTACATTGGGTAAGAGTGCACTATAGGCAGTTAGGGAAGGCTGTTTAAACAAAGATAGGCAGAAACAAAATGGAGGAGAAACACGGTAGAATTATACCTCAAAACTCAGTTGTGGGTAGTCGAACATGTTTCCAAACCAGGACAGGGCTGAGTTCAAAAAAGACAGCAGGGCTAGGAAGGCAATCATATTCACAGCGATGCTTGCCACCAGGGAGATGGATGAGGAGGCTCCCTGTGTTGCAGCTTCTAGGAGATTCCTTGAATCACTTTATCAAAAAATAGTAATCCCAGAATTACCTAGGCGTTGTGGGTGGATGCACATCACAGGTGTGGAAATGGCCTAATCAGAGCTCAGGTGGAGAGACCAACTCTCAGGCCCAGGCCTGAGTCAAAATACTCACCTGAATTCTATGAAATCACGATGGCATTTATAATTGTTGAGTGTAGATGATGGACGTCTAACTATTCTACAACTCTTTTAATATGGGGTTATTTATAATTAAAATTTGGGGAACGATACACATATTACGGGTTTAAAAATTATATTTAATTAAAAGTAGCTACCAGAGATTACTGGTGTAAGAACTAACAATTCAAGGCCTGAATATCCATCACCTCGTTTAAGAAATGGAATGTCACCATCACCTTTGAGTCCCATCCTTCTGCCCCTTCAGCTCTTTCTCAATCTCCTTCTCTTCTCTCTTAGCTCAGAGGTACCAGGCGCCACTAAAATTTTGCTTATCATTCCCTTTCTTTTCAATTTTCCTACTTGTCTGTATCCCTAAATAATGTGTTGTTTTATTTTACACATTTGCTAAGAT